GTAGCGCTCCAGCTTGGCCTTGATGTCCTCTGCCATGGCTGCCGGCTAATTAAAAGAGTAATTAACACCCCCAGGGGGTAATTAGCACCCCTCAGTGCTAATTAGCAGCCCCTCAGGGGTAATTAATGCACACGCCCCCCCCCCAAGCGGTTAACTCGCCCTGGGGGTGAGGGGAATGGAGGCATGCCAGTGAGAGTGGGCAGCCTGGGGGGATCATTAGCAGCGCTAATTAACTCTTCTAGAACTAATTAACATGCCCTAGAACTAATTGGTTAGGTCCTGGGTTAACTAAAGTCTCCTGAGACTAATTAACCTCCCCGGTGATGAGAAAGGCAATAGGAACAGGAGCATGGGAATGCTAGTGGTCAGTCTAGGCAACTAATTAACAGCAGTAACTAACCCCCACTGGATTAATTAACACCCCTTGGGGCTAATTAACATTCTCTAGAGCTAGCTGATTATTTATTGGGACTAATGAGGCTCTCCTGGGACTCATTAATCTCTGCTTACAAAAACAAATACAATGAGAACAGTAAGACAGAGGCAGATAGAGAGAATGAATGGCAATTAACAATGCTAATTAGTAATTAACACCCCCTGGGACTAACTGACCAATTTCTGGAACTAATTAAGCATACCAGGACTAATTAATGCTTCCAAGGACTAACTAATTCCCCCTGCTGATGACAAATGGAATTGCAAGACAAGCACAGTGATACAGGTGGGCACCCTAAAAGTTAATTATCATCAGTAACGAACACTCAAAACTAATTAACGCCCCCAACACTATTTTTTAATACTAATTAAAGTACCATGAGGTTAATTACGTGTTTCTACAATTAATTAGTAACCCCAGGTGATGAAAAACAGAACAGAACTACAGCAAAAATATGGCAGGGGGGAGTGTTGGGGGGGAAGACACCCCAGTAGGGGCAATTAATGGGGTAATTAATCCCTAGGGACTAATTAACTCCCCAAGACTAATTAAGAACTTCTAAGACTCATTAAATGCTCGTCTCTAACGAAAACAAAGCAGTAAGAAGCAGTTGGTGAAGTGTGGGAAACAGGAACACACACTGGGGTCCAATTAACAGTGATAATTTATGACCCCCAGACTAATTAACAACCCCTGAGACTAATTAACACCCCCCAGGACTAATTAACCAACCCTGGGAATAATTAAGCTGCTTTGGTGATGGTCAAGGGGATGATAACAGGGTGGGGGCGGTGATGTGGGGGGAAGGAACCCCAGGGGAGGAGGGTAATTAACATGGCTAATTAACACACCACAAGCCAATTAAGACCCCCGGGGCTAATTAACTTTGTTAAAGCATAATTAAGCTTTCTTATAAGTAATTAATCTCACCTGGTAAGGAGGAATCAGTAACAAACAGGAGCTGGTTAGCAGAGAGCACAGGGCAAAGTAATTAACGGGGGTAATTAGCAAAACTAATTAACTCCCATGCTAATGAGCCCCTCCTACAGCTAATTAATATCCCCTCAGATTAATTAATGCACCCCCCCATGCTAATTAACCCCCCCCAGCACTAATTAATCCATCCTGGGGTCTGGGAGTTGGAGGGGGGATTGGCCCCGCCCCAGCCATTTCTGGCCCTAAATCTCTCCCAGGACCCCCAAAAGCCTCATTTCTGCCCCAAATTCCCTCCTGGCAACCCCAAAATCCCCATTTTTTACCCCAAATCCCGTCCAGGAACCCAAATCCCCATTTCTGGCCCAAAATCCCCGCCAGGAGCCCCAAAATCCTCATTTCTGGCCCTAAATCTCTCCCAGGACCCCCAAAAGCCTCATTTCTGCCCCAAATTCCCTCCTGGCAACCCCAAAATCCCCATTTTTTACCCCAAATCCCGTCCAGGAACCCAAATCCCCATTTCTGGCCCAAAATCCCCGCCAGGAGCCCCAAAATCCTCATTTCTGGCCCTAAATCTCTCCCAGGACCCCCAAAAGCCTCATTTCTGCCCCAAATTCCCTCCTGGCAACCCCAAAATCCCCATTTTTTACCCCAAATCCCGTCCAGGAACCCAAATCCCCATTTCTGGCCCAAAATCCCCGCCAGGAGCCCCAAAATCCTCATTTCTGGCCCTAAATCTCTCCCAGGACCCCCAAAAGCCTCATTTCTGCCCCAAATTCCCTCCTGGCAACCCCAAAATCCCCATTTTTTACCCCAAATCCCGTCCAGGAACCCAAATCCCCATTTCTGGCCCAAAATCCCCGCCAGGAGCCCCAAAATCCTCATTTCTGGCCCTAAATCTCTCCCAGGACCCCCAAAAGCCTCATTTCTGCCCCAAATTCCCTCCTGGCAACCCCAAAATCCCCATTTTTTACCCCAAATCCCGTCCAGGAACCCAAATCCCCATTTCTGGCCCAAAATCCCCGCCAGGAGCCCCAAAATCCTCATTTCTGGCCCTAAATCTCTCCCAGGACCCCCAAAAGCCTCATTTCTGCCCCAAATTCCCTCCTGGCAACCCCAAAATCCCCATTTTTTACCCCAAATCCCGTCCAGGAACCCAAATCCCCATTTCTGGCCCAAAATCCCCGCCAGGAGCCCCAAAATCCTCATTTCTGGCCCTAAATCTCTCCCAGGACCCCCAAAAGCCTCATTTCTGCCCCAAATTCCCTCCTGGCAACCCCAAAATCCCCATTTTTTACCCCAAATCCCGTCCAGGAACCCAAATCCCCATTTCTGGCCCAAAATCCCCGCCAGGAGCCCCAAAATCCTCATTCCTTGCCCTAAATCTCTCCCAGGACCCCCAAAAGCCTCATTTCTGCCCCAAATTCCCTCCTGGCAACCCCAAAATCCCCATTTTTTACCCCAAATCCCGTCCAGGAACCCAAATCCAGATTTCTGGCCCAAAATCCCACCCAGCACCCCCAAAATCCCAATTTCTGGCCCCAAATCCACCACAGTCCCCATTCTGGCCCCAAATTCCGCCCAGGACCCCCAAAATCCCCATTTCTGGCCCCAAATCCCCCCCAGGAGCCCCCAAATCCCCATTTTTGACCCCAAATCCCCTCCAGGAGCCCCCAAATCCCCCTTTCTGGCCCCAAACCCCGGTTTCGGGGGGGCTCCACTCGGCGCTAGGACCCAGGGCC